ACAAGTGAATTAGTCTCCTTCTTGGATTTGGGCTGCTTGTTATCCTCAGAATTTGAAGCCTTGACGGGGGTGGTAAAGCCACTCATGGGAGTACATAGCGGGCATCCCTGTGACCAGGAAAGGTCAGAAAGTCCCCCCAATCCCAATTTATCTCAACTTCTGGTGTGAGGCATGGTCTCCATGTGACATATTAGCCAAGCCACATTGACATTCTAGATAATCTCCCTCATGTTAGTTGAGGGACCAACTGTCCACATAATCCTCATTTTTTCCCTAACATTTGGTTTAGACCACCACATACACATTGGCTACTGTTATTATTTGATGAATAGCCACAAGATGTTGGAAGTTCTCGTCTTCTTGTCAAGAAGTGTTCTTAAAATTAGTTTCATAATTAGTAGAGATATATGACATGATCAGGTTGTACTTTATAGTACTAAGAAGGCAGCATGAATTAATACCAAAGGCATTTGATTAAACTACAGCCCCCTTGAAGAACAGGATCAGAATCAATCAATTCATAAGGTAGCTTACTCACAGAACAATGCATTATATTCAACTCAGTTAGCATACAACAATTAGTAGAGATATATCACGTGATCAGGTTGCACTTTACAGTAATAAGAAGGCAACATGAATTAATACCAAAGGCATTTGATTAGACTACAGCTCCCTTGAAGAACAGGATCACAAGCAATCAATTCATAAGGTAACTTACTCACAGAACAATGCATTATATTCCACTCAGTTAGCGTACAGCAATTAGTAGAGATATATCACGTGATCAGGTTGCACTTCACAGTACTAAGAAGGCAGCACGGATTAATACCAAAGGCATTTGATTGAACTACACTTCACTTGAAGAACAGGATCACAAGCAACTAAGTTGATTATATTTTTCAGCAAGTGCACGTACCAAGAAAACAGCAGCAGGTGTTCAATTCAAACATATATGCAGACATACAATAAGTACTACTATAAAAATTAGACTCCTCCTAAGCTGAGATGGCAATACATGTAAGAACTGTACCAAACCAACCTGAGTATTGTTCAAAAACAATTAGTATGTGCTCTCACAATAGAGCACAGATCATAACTTATAATTCAGAGATACGTGTATGCTCTTAGTGGCACCTCGCCGCTATAAGAGGAATTACCGTCGCCGGTCCAGATGGAGATCTTGCTTAGCATGGGGCTCTGGTCCAGCTTGAAATCCATGTAGAGAATAACAAGCTCGCCCCAGCAACAAATTCAGGACAGAAAAAGGATAACACACATAGAAGATTAAATTTGTGTTTCGAATGGATGCCCTCATCTAGCTAGCTCTTGTCGACCGACTTCACCTGCGGTGCACACATACATATACAGGCGGCAGGAGGAAATCAAGATCAATTTTAAGTCTAAAAGCATGCCCAGATTAAACCGAACTAATCAAGTTAGAATATCTGAAATTAGAAAATAGATCTGCGTTGTTGATTCAGATCCTTGCGTCCGCCTGGCCATGGTGTTGCACGTGGCCATGTTGATTTCAGATCCTTGCGTCCTTGAATATTGAAATTGAGAAGATTTCCTTATGTACTACACAGAGGGAGAACCATGGCTCTGTCAGCTTCTTGCAGCTAGATCGAGAAACATAGGCGAGGAGTCGTCGGCACGTCGTCTGTTTCGAATAGCCCGCCAGAGAAATCCATTGCCGTTGCCGAGCCTGCTGTGTCCCATGTGGCTCCCGCGGGGCGAAGGGCGCGGCTGCGACCTGCGGCGAAGGGTGCTGCTGCGGGAGGCGGCGAACGACGCGGGAGGAGGAGCAGGGCGAGAGGTCGAGGAGCAGGGGCGAGAGGTCGTGTCGTACGTGCGGTGCGGGCAACGGTTTTTTCTAACGCGGGGCAGGGTTAGCGATCGATGGACTATGAGCGGCTTAAGGGCATGTACAACGCGGGCTCTTAGCGCGGATGCCAGTGTTAATTTCCTGGCAGTTACGTACAATTCCCACTTGAATCCAGGAAAGTTGTTAGCGTCGATGCAAAAGCTTTCCCCGGGCGCTCCATCCCTTTTTCCTCCCACGCTAGCCATCGTTCCGTTCGTTTTTTTACTCGTGTAGCGCCTGGACTTCGCTGCTTGCGTTGGAGGCAGAGACTCTAATAAGGATGCTAAACTACCCCGCAAAAAAAAAAGGATGCTAAACCAAAATCTATTTTTTTACTTGCTGATAAGCGCCTGTTCAAGCGCTTGGCATTGTAGATGCCCTAATGCGTGACTTGTTGTGTTAACCAACAGAAGAATTAGAGGTTATCAGATATTATAGATAGACAGTTATAATTGTTTGGATCTGTCCTCTCTTTTTTATTTATCTTTATTTTTAATGTTTG